CAGTTCTCCACTATAATTTTTAATTCCTTAAAATATTTATCATCATAATAAATTGTTCAATAAACATTATTTTTCCATTTAATTTCCCTACTCCAAATTCTTATGCTTAATCTTAGAAGTGAAATTATAAAATCAAAGGCTATGACGAGTTTTTAAAATATATATTGCTAAATTGCACTACAAAGTGTATACAGCCATAAGACATGACATATGTTATATGGTAATTTCCATGGTATGGTACTGTTTGAAATATCATACTATAAAAACATTAATAAACTTGTGTTCTATTATTAAAATTATTTTCCTTCTTTTTATTAAAAATAATCACCTCATTTGTCCATGTCAATGATACTGCAATTATTTAAAGAAAAAAATCATAAGTTCTTAAAATCTTAGTCTTTTTTTCCAATAAAGGTGCAATGTTTAGTGGGGCCAGGGATTTAGCTCAGTGGTTCTGCCACTTGCCTCACAAGCACAAGGACCCAAGTTCGATCCCCGGTACCAAAAAAAGATGTGATGTTTATTCTTTTTTAATTATGTGGCATTTATTCTGAATACATACTTCCTTAATTTTTTATTTTTTCCTTTCTTATAAAAAAGTTCATTTAACCATTAATAGTTTATATCTCATAAATAAGCAATTTTATTTTGACTTACAGTGTATCAAGCCTTCTAACTCTCTTATTGGGGTAAATATACTTTTCTTGAGTCTTCTCAAATCATTCCTTAAGGATTATAAACAATAGAAAATCTTTATATTTCTAATTAGGAAGGTGAAATTAGTTTATGCTAACAAAATTCTTCAAATTCAGTTAACTTCTAAATTATTTTTATGTGAAATAATGTATATCTTGTATTTATCCTTAATTATTTTAACCCTTGGAATATAGTAGGCACAAAAAATGGTTATAAGTTTAAAATTCTGCATAAATAAAACTATGATTTAATTTAATGGCTATTTAAAAGCTGTAGAAAACTTGCATTTGTCATCATTTAATTTATAACCAATAATCATCACAGTGTAAATATCAGGGAATGTTTATTTCTGTAAAGGAAATTAAAATTATTGTGAAGCATTTTATATTTTCTCAATGTTGGCATTAGAGGATAAAACAGTCTCCATACGTTCACAATTTATCTAAGAACTTTCAACCCAAATTATAAGGAATGAAATAAAAGAGATAACAGGAAGTAGGAAGATAGATCTTTCTTAAACAGGAAGGGAATCAAGGGAAGGAACATGGGGGTGGAGGGGAAGAGATGAAAAAAAGAATTGAGATGTGTTGCATACAGGCACCAACTCCACACAAGGAGTATAATCATTATGCTAATAAAAATTAAAATTTTAAATGGAAAAATTTGGCCAATTACTAAATAACTTATTGGGGTGGTATGGTAGTGCTTTGTGTTAAAAAGAGGAAAGTTCTTACCCTGTAAAACTGAACAAAGAAACCTTCAACTCACTTCTCTCCTTACTGTTCTCCTTCCTACTCCCTCTAAAAGGCAGCAGGCATAAAAATGTGTCTGACATCTAGAGAGCTTATGCATGATGGGCTGTTTTCAGAGTCCGCATAAAAATTATTTGCACATCAACATATTCATCCCTAGTAACAGATGCCTATCCCTTCCAGCATTTTTTTCTCACAAAGTCAAAACAATATGAATTTAAGCGTATTTATTAAATCGCTAAATATAACTTAAAAGTAACTCTAGAAGTTTTCAGGGTTTATGTATGATTGCTACATTGCAAAGAGCACTGAAGTGAAATCAGGACACCGGGGCTCTGCTGTAGACCTTGACATTAGCAAGCACTGTCACTTTGACCAACAATCTCTGCCTCTCAGCTGACTCATCTCTGAGAATGAAGTTATTGTGCTACAAAGCCTGCGTGATGCCCCTTGTTCCTCTTCAATTCTACAAAATTAATATTTCACATACTAATAAAGTCACCTACTGGCAGAGCTAATGAAGTAAAAAATACTCTAAAATGTGAATATCCTTCAGGAATATAGAGTGATATAGATGTAGACATTCACTGGTAACAGAATGAGTCATAACTCATGTTGCTGACTACTTATTTGGAGCTATATATGAAATATATATTTAAAAATATATATCACAGAATATAATGTAAACATAACACATTGTAACAAAATACACACACATCTGTAAGTATATATGTGTGTGTATCTTGACCAGGTTACCCTAACCTAAGGAAAATATCAGAATGGTGCAAATCCATCTGAAAATATTCCAACTTTGCATTAACTTTCATGATCTTTGTGTCATAGGGAAAAAAGGTTTTAATATATAATGACAGACAATCAAGAAATACATAAAAACATTCTGCTTTCCCTTAGCAATTCAAAAATATAAAAATGTTGTTACCTTTCCTATGCTGATATCTGGCTGCAGAAAACAGTCTGAATAATTAGCCCATGTTTTATTCGAGCTTTGAATAAAATCCCATGTTCCATTGAGAGTGCAATGCCTGAAAGCAACTCCTGAAAAGAGACGAAAGATGATGAGATGGCTCAGTTCCCTTAGAGTCTATTAAGAAACAAAAGAGAGAGAGAGAGAGAGACAAATTTCTGTGTTAAATTGATCATTTCAGAAAATTCAATACCTTTATGATTGAAGTCATAGATATAAGCAGGGCATGGGACAGCCAATATTTTCCCCGCTGCTCCTCTGGGCCAACAGATGAGTCCATCCCATTCTGGGAAACAATTGCCCTCTGATGAGAAAAAAAAATTAAAAAGCAACTAAAGAAAAATAAGCAGACAATAGTGAACAATACAAGAAATTAGAGAACAAATTTGTTCAAACCTCAGGTCACTACCTGTGGCAAATGTAAAACGAACTGGTAATTTTGGAAACTAGAATGGTGTGAATAGGGTACAAATGTCCCAAAATTCATCTGCCTTGTCTTTTCAGAGGCCAATTAGTAGGAGCCTTTGATTAGTAAAATTAAAAATATTCAAAGTATCTCAGTGTATCAGTTACAGCAGTTAATGTATAAGAAACATTGGAAGCCACTGCAAACAACCATAGTATACTGCTTCCAAATGTCATAATAGTAACTACATTTTCACCCTAGATTTTTAAAAACTGCTATTAAACAACATGACACACAAAACAGATTCAATATCCTGAGCTTTCTTTACCAATAATTTCAGCAATGTCTTGGAGTCTAACACTCATCTCAGACAAGTCTCTACTCTTCCCAGATGAATCCAGAACCCATTGTTCTTACACACATCCCCCACTTCCGCTGTGGGAGCCTGTGTCTACCACATGTCCATGCAGAGTTACTGCAGTGGTCTCTAGCTGGTCTTCCTGATTCTATTCTGCTCATTCTCTGCAAGACAGTTCTGTAGGTGGCACTGGAACCACCCAGCTTTCCCAACTCTATTTGCTTGTAGTGCTCAAGATTAATTATAGAATATGCTGGAATTTTTTGCAACATCCTGAGATAAGGGGAAAGAGTGGCTAGAACAGATTGTGCTCCATTCCAGTCCCTCCCAGGAATGAGAGGTGCTTCCGCACCTTAGCACTACCCGTCATGTGCTCCAGGGAGTCTTTTGGAGTGACTCAGCTGCAGAATTAATGGGGCATGTGCAATAGGTTCCATCCACCTTAGCAGCTTTCCTGAGACAGGGGATCTGCTCACAATGAATCTTAGCTTCTGTTGTTGCTGCCTGCCTATAACTAATAAACCCTGCATGTAATTTGCTGTGTACATGGGCACTCTACTTCTCCCAACTCAAACTGGTTACCAATGGTGCGGCCTCATTTCTTCCTAACTCAATAGACCCAAATCCACCAAAAGCTCCCATCATTCTCCAAGCAAAAGCCTAAGTCACGGCAATGTGAAGGTGCTGAGGATCTGCCATTTCCCCGAGTATTTCTCACCAACCTGAGCTCCCATTCCAGCTCTTAGAGCTACAACACTGCCTGGTCTTCCTAGATCTTAGTGTTGGACTCTCATCACCTCAGTGCTTACTTCTTTACCTGCCCCACATTTTTACTCAAATGTCAACTTCTGAGTACATGCTCTCTATTTAAAATTGCATCTTGAAACACTCCCTACCACCTTTTCCTACTATTTATTTCTTCTAAGCTCTCATCACCTTGCAATACTGTGTATTTCATTATTGTTTCCTTAAGGTGGTTTAGGAATCTGGAGGGCACAGGTCAGGGATTTAGCTCAGTGGCACCGCACCTGCCTCACAAGCAGGGGGAAAAGAAAAGAATCTGGAGGGCAGATATTTGTGTCTATTTTTGTCTTGTGTGTCAGCTGTGTTCCTGGAAAAGCCCTTGGCACATGGTGTGGCTTAACACATATTCACTGTTGATGTTCTGTGCTCCTTAGAGCTCTTTCCTTTCATTATAGATTAAAATTCTAAGAAAATTCAGATCCCACTGTCAGCCACGTCAGATCCAAACTTCCCAAGAAGAGATATCTTTCAATGAGTGCTGTGTTAGTTTTCTATTACTATCAGATTACCACAAATTTATCATCTTAAATAACACAAATTTATTTTTCCTTGTTTCTATAGGTCAAAAGTCGACAGTTTCAGCTAGGCTTCCACTAATAGACTCCCAAGTGGAAAAATCAAGGGCTGAGCAGCCCTGTTTTCCTTTCTGAAGACTCTTGGGAGGAACCCGTGTCCTTGCTCATTTCAGTGTTTGGCAGAATTCAGTTCCTGGAAGGTGTAGAACTGAGGATTTTTTTTTTTTGCTTACTGTCAGCAGAGGGCCAGATCCAGTTTTTAGAAGCTGCTTGCATTTTTTGCTTGTAGTCCCCTTACTCTGACTTCAAAGTAAGCAAAGCAGACTGAGTGTTTTTCACATTTTGAATTCTCCTCCTCTGTTCTTTTCTGCCACAAATCTGGTTGCTTCTTTTGCCTCTCTCTTCCACTTTCACCAGTATATATGTCACACTGGGCCACCCGGATGATCTAGTGTAACCTCCCCCTCTTAACTTCCGTAACCTTTGGCAATGTAAAACAGCATACAAAGGCAGTATGTCATGTGTTAGGGGGTAGATGTCTTTGAAGATGTATTATTCTGCTACCACAAGGGCTATCCTTTGTAACTCTCTCTCTCTCTAAGGTTTAGGTACCAATTAAACTAACTATAGTTGAGGATTTTTGTCTTAGCTAATGTTCACCGTGTCAAGTTATTTGCTCAGTTTTGAAGTCATCATAATAGAACCTCATACAAACATTGATCTCTACAAAAAGTACTTCACCATAGGGCTGGGGATTTAGGTCAATGGTTCCACTGCCTGCTTGCAAGCACAAGGTCCCGAGTTCGATCCCCAGTACCAAAAAAACAAAAACAAAAAAATACCTCACCATAAACCTGAAATTAACTTCTTAGTATCCACCTAGCACATAGAAACAAGTTCTTGACTTCCTTTATGAGTTGCTGAAGGAATGAGAGAAAAAAAAAATCTTCCCTCACCCACACTGTACTTGTAGAAGAGAACATTTTCTTGGAAACAGCCTTGCTTTGCGCACATAATGAAAGCCTGGGCTTTGCATATCACAGGCAACCCTGGAGCTCGTTCCACTGGCTCCTGCTTCTAGTGTGTAGGTCTACCTACCTCTCTTCCCACCATTATCTGATTTGCTTATACAGCGTAAAGAGTCAACCTCATGTAGGTCAGAAGTCTGCCCACCCATTTTGCACAAGATATTCTTCTATATCTTGAGAGAATCCCATATAACTCCTCCCCATTTATTTATCCTTCACAAATTGTATGTCTCTATATATCTAAACTGTTGCTGTAATTTGCATCTTAAACATCCTCCTAAGGCACATGTGTTCCCAGCTTGGCGCTTTTGGGAAATGGCAGAGATTGTCAGAGGTGGAGTCTAGTGGAGGTCTTCTGGTCACTGGGGATGTGTGCTTGAAGCAGATCATGGGAACTTGGCTCTTTCCTCTTTCCTCCTTTCTGTTTTCTGAGTCCCAGCTATGAGTTAAACAGCTTTGCTCTGCCACATGCTCCAGCCATGATGTGCTACCATGGACCCTAAGCAACGGGGATAATCAGTCATGGACTAAGACCTGTAACACTGTAAGCCAATAAACCTCTTCTCTATAAGTTAATTTATTATTAGGGTATTTGTTATACTATTGGAAAGTTGACTAACTGTCCAGTAGACAAATACCCAATGTCTACTGTACAATCTAAATAAATTCGATCCAGACCTGTGTCCTTGTTTTCCTATAATTAGTTATCCCTCTAAAACATATGCTGCACTAACATGCTATTTTTGGATAAGAGACCTATGATGGAAAAAGGTCTTCAAATAAGGGTAATACCCAGTCACCAGTTTATCCTGTAATGACTTTTTTTTTTTTTTTTTTGGTACCAGGGATCAAACTCGGGTCCTTGTGCCCACGGGGCAGGCAGTGGAACCACTGGGCTAAATCCCTGGCCCTGTAATTACTTTTTAAATTGCTATGAAAAAGATTTTTTCCTCATGTTCTAAAATGGACAGTTTTCTAGTTCTCTGCAAAATGCTACACTACATATGTAAATACACAGATATAACCTGCAAAATTCAGAAAACAATACTCCTTCAAAATAATGTCTGTGTAGATCATGATTATTTCTCTGGTGGCTCTTTGACAAAGAGAGTGGTGAATATTCACAAAAGGTTGAAAAGACTGGGGAATCCTTGACCTCATACAGAAAATAGAGATATTACTTAACATCTTCTCATTGATCATCATGTGAGTAAATACTTTCATTATTTGGTGAGAAACTAATTAATTGCCTAATGACTCACTGCTCTCCCTTTATACAATAACATCATTAATTATAGGACTTTAATTCTTTGTGTATGCCAGGAAAAACTAATTATTCCTGAAGCTTCTTCAACCATGATATTTTTAAAGAATAATCTAAAATTTGTAGAATCTAGCTTTTTCTTTTTCAATCTCTTCAGTTGCACATAACAAAATGTGATTATGGTTGGAAGTGGAACCAAAATGAATAGTATCCTGCTTTTTGTTTTTAAATATGTCAGTAGTTTCATAACTATGTATTTGTGTTTACATTTCCTTTTCTTTCTTTCGTAAGTATTAGGAAATGTTTATGTCCTTTTTTTGTGCAAAGATTTAAGAAATAAAGCAGCATATTGTATATCCATAGCCTAAAATTAGCAGTTGTTTATGTGTTATAATATTTATTTCATCTATTTTCTGCAACAATTTAAAAATAAATTATAGTCAGTATAGCTGTTCAATCTTAAATATTTTGATATGTCTCTCACCTTTAATAATGACAATTTCTTAAATTATCCAGTGAAATTAAAATGTCATTTTAATTTTTGATAATTTTAAGTGAAGAACTTTTGAGTCAATTTACATATAATTAGACATTTTCATTGAAAGGTAGGCCAAAATATGAACATATTCAATTCTATTCCATTTGTATGGAGGAAGATATCAAAAGAATTTTTTTCTTTTAGTATTTGTCTACATCTTTTATGTTATTTACATATTCACAAATTTTAGATGTTACATAAGTTTACACATGCAGTTAGTTTATTCTTCTATATGTAATTATTATGGCATATGACCGGCTAATAATGACATTTGTCCACCCTATTCCCTCTTCCAGGAATGCCTTTTTCATTTCCTCCTCTACACATCTAATTCCCACTCCTTTATCTATAGCTATGAATATTTCTGTCATAAAATTACACACCATCCTGA